TAAAGGTTTGTTTGTCCTAGAAGGCTATGTTTTAGTTGACATTGCTTTATATATGCATCAACAAACAGGATATCATTTATGTGATGCCAAAGTGAGTATTTGTTTGCAGTTATACTGTCTGTGTGATAAAACGAGTACTTGTTTAAAGACAACGTGAAACCCTGATGGATTATAATGGTTAATCTTGAATTTCTGTTATGTAAAATGTACAGGAAGCTCCAGAAGGATCCTTCATCTTGCTTCACGGATGTGCTCACAACCCAACTGGAATTGACCCAACACCAGAACAGTGGGTAAAAATTGCTGATGTCATTCAGGAAAAGAACCATATCCCATTTTTCGATGTTGCATACCAGGTATCCCCCTATTCCTACATTTCCGAATATCGTGTTTCCGAGAGAAGTAAGCGAAACCATATTATGTAACGCTACATGCACCTATTTTCCAGGGCTTTGCTAGTGGAAGCCTTGATGAAGATGCAGCATCTGTGAGATTATTTGCTGAGCGGGGAATGGAGTTTTTTGTTGCTCAGTCATATAGTAAAAATTTAGGTTTGTATGCAGAAAGAATTGGGGCAATCAATGTCGTGTGCTCCTCAGCTGATGCTGCTACAAGGTAAAACTTACTCTAAATTTTCTTATCATGAGCCTGTTGCAAGTGATCCTGGAGTCTCAGTTTCTATCTTTACCGTCACGAACCATATCTAGCTACAGGTTTTATGGAACCTTTACCAGTAACACTACTTGCTTTCAGGGTCAAGAGCCAGTTGAAAAGGATTGCTCGGCCTATGTACTCGAATCCACCAGTTCATGGGGCGAGAATCGTGGCCAATGTAGTGGGTGATGTAACTATGTTCAGTGAATGGAAAGCAGAGATGGAAATGATGGCAGGAAGAATAAAGACGGTTAGACAAGAGCTGTATGATAGCCTCGTTTCAAAAGACAAGAGCGGGAAGGACTGGTCCTTCATTCTGAAGCAAATTGGCATGTTCTCTTTCACCGGCCTAAACAAAGCTCAGGTATGCCAACAATTTTAATACTACACAGATTCCCTTTGGCCTTGTTTAGACTTGTGGTTTGAAGTTTGTGCTGTTTTCTTTTGGTAACGAGCAGAGCGATAACATGACGGACAAATGGCATGTGTATATGACTAAAGACGGGAGGATATCATTGGCCGGATTATCTCTGGCCAAATGCGAGTATCTTGCTGATGCGATCATCGACTCATACCATAACGTAAGCTGAGCTTCCATCTCAGTAGATGACAATAAGAAACAGTTTTATATACCCTTTTTAGCTTCTTCTTGATCTTTGATTGAAACCAGATGGCTAAATTAATAAGCTAGCATCACACTATGATTGCTAGACAATTTTCAAGGAAACTTTTGATTTGATCGTGTTTGACAGGCCTTGTTGTATTGGGAGACTCCCATCGAGTTATAGAAGAACTTGTTACGATTGTATTTTACATAATTTCACAACTATACTTGACCGGAAGAGTTACAACAGAAATGATCAGATTGTACAGTGTGATCTATCTTAATACCAGTGCAATTCCACATTGTCTGCTATAAGAAGCATCGACTCACTATCACATTATCAAAAGATTCAAAACCACTAGATATTAAAACCAGTACAATTACTAGCAAGAAATTCTAAAGCTTCTAGTTCGCAAGTAGATGATTAAATTTAAACCCAATCCAGATTCTAGGTTGCGAGAAAAAATTCTTAAGAAACAACTCTACATGGAAGCAAACCAAGAGATACTTCAATAGTCAAATCACACAAATGTTAAGAAACAACTCCCAATACGAAGAAAATTTGGTAACATGAATCATAATAGAGTAAAAGTCTTACAGAAATATGAAAATGTCATAACTTAAAACAAAAAGAAGACTTGAGGAAATGCTAAACCAAACAGATAAAGAAGACTCTTTTAGAAGGCTTATCACTTAGAATCCGAGCTTGGTTCTACGCCAGTGCCTGCGCTTGGCATTGTACCTGAAATTAACCACACAATGAAATCAGTTTTAGAACTAAATCGATCAACTAACACAACTAAATATATCTTCAATTTGATAGATCAGGGAATAAACAATAGACAAAAAAAAACAAGAATAGTCGAACCTGATGGTGTTGTCGGTACGAAGACGAATCCAGTGAGGAATAGGCCTGTTCTGTCTCATCTTCTTTCCCAACTTCTTCTTAATCATAAACGACTTGTGCGACGGCTGTTACATTTCATTTTTCCAACACAAATCAAAATCACTAATTTCGTTTCGATATCTAACTAACAACAAATCAAACTCTTTAATCAATCCAAACAGGCGAAACTAACAAACGATTGTAACAAAGATTAAAAATTTGCGAGAGAGCGAGACTAACCATCTTGAAGTCGTGAGATTCGCAGCTGCTCAGCGAGGCAAAAAATACGAAGAAGAGGCGACTAACCTTTTTAAGAAGTTAAAACGATGAAACCCTAGTAAAGTCTTCTTTATTGGGCTTTTTATGTGATAACAGTCTTTTTAGGTTTCATGTTTCGGCCCAAGGCCCATGATTTTTAGTCTTGTAGCGAAACGTCAATTTTTTATTGGTCACGTTCCCAAGTTTGACACTTCTACACTCAAGAAGTCAACATTTCTTACAACGAAATTTCCTGTTGTAAGATTTTGGGGGAAATGGCTGTTCTACGAAAGCTCTGATATAACCTTTTGTACTCTTATTGATTTACAAATGTTTGTACTTGCTCGTAGGACGTGATTGATCCTAGAGCAAGCTTTATGTCTCACATGTCTGTGAAACAAATAGCTGTTCTTTTCTATCACTGATTTTGACATCTGTAGGCTCTAAAAACACACTACTTCTTCTTGCAATTGTACATTGTGTGCTTAATAGGTTCCAATCCTAGTTTCAAGCATCAGTTTTAGTCACTTTAGTTATTTACTATATAATTTCTTTGTTTGCGTATCTTGCCTGGAACTGTTGTTAGTGTCACTTCTACACCAACTGGTTCTTTTAAGCAGTGCCATCTCATGGATCATTGTGAAACCAAAGATAATTTTGACACATTAAGATACAGAGCCAAATGTTTAGTTTTATTGACCAATAGACTTATTACAGAGCCAAGATAGAGCATACGGACTGTATGAAAGTGAGAAGGAGAAGAAGTAAAGCTGCAAAAACAGAAGCAACTGCCCAAGGATTGTGGAAGTAGTCACGTCTCAGAATCGCCTTCCACCTGTTCCATGGTGTGTTGCAGTAAGCTTGAAGGTTCTCAGAGAGCATCGAAAAGTAGAATCTTCTGTCATAGATAACCTCTTTGCTGATGCTATTGAACAAGTTTGAAACATCTACTGAGTTCCCGAGATAGTTTACGATGATCCCACTGTGGATGAGCAAGTCAGCATCTGTAGGGGATTTAATGAAGCAACCGAGCAGCATGATGTAGTCGAGGAAGTTTTTATTTGAGCAACGACATTGTTCAAACCCAATGATGTTTCTGTAGAGGGATTCCGTGAGATCATCGACGACAATGGTTGGAATCTTCAGTACTCCATCAGCAAAACTAATGTCAAGTAAACAACTACTGGTCTCTGCTGGCTTGAACCTAACACCAGCAGTGTGAAGCTCTGTTGCTTCAGGTGCATTGTCCACTTTCACTGTAGTGTATTCTAATTTAATTGGAAACTGTGGCAGATAACAAGACCTCAGAAGATCAACAAAATGTTCTGGCTCTGTAATAAACTTCTCATCATCAATGCGGCTCAAGAAATAACTGAAGTGGCGTTGCGCGAGCTGTATGATTGAAGGTGTTCCTTGTTGGTAGTAATTCAACAAGAGAAGAAATATCTCCTTCACAACGAAAAAGGGTAACTGATTTTCTATCAAAATCATGTCACGGCACACGTCGGTGATCATCATTGAATTGCCAAATATGCGATCATTCTCGCCTCTAAGTCGAGGATAATGAGACCTCAAAAGAAGTTCAACCAAGAAGCTACCATCTACAACTAACATCTCAACAAACTCATCGCTATGAAGTTTCACATCTTCTGCATAACAGCTGCGAGCATTTTGTTCCCAAGTCCTAGCAAGTCTAACAAGGTCCTCTAGACTAGAGTTCGTTCTAGGGATAAAACTCAGCAAATACCTGTATTTCTGATCTTCCATAGCTTGAAGCTCTTCTTTACCACGATGAAGCGGGCCAAAAGACACAAGCCGAGGCGTATATGCATCAGGATTGAGTCTGCGGAGCTTATTAGGTACCTTGTATATACAGCATTTGGTGGAAAGAGAAGATAAAAAGGCTAACTTCGCTTTGATGGAATCGACAAGGGCGTCACCTTCATTCTGATTCATCCTCTCATATGCAAAGCAAAGCCGGTCTACAAAGAAAGAGAAGAAGAAGATTCTCCAAACGAAGCTAAGCGCACAAACAGTGGTAAACCTTGCAGAAAGTCAACGTTTCACACACATTCTTTTGGACTTTAAGAAAGACGCTTGCAGACATCTCAACCCCAAAAATATCAAACGTGGGTCCAACAAGTACTGCTAAGCTTTGTATACTTCATCTTTAAATAGTTGATTTTAACAAGACAAAGGAAAGCTTTCGAAAGATGATTTGGTGGTGAGGTTGGACAATAACATTTTTAGTTGGTTGTATCATTAATAGATGGTGTCGCTGTGTTATCCATTTAATCCAACTATTCTATCAAAATTGTGAACCACTAGCGAATTCATCATGGTCAAGCACACCAGGGAAAACAAAAGAGCATAATACAATGGAGATATTCTGCCAAAAAAATCACTCCCACTGCCTAAAAAAGCCAGCTTCTGCAGATGAAGTGCAATCGAGAGAGATTTCTTCTGCCGGGTGGAATCGTACTTACGACATTGCACTTCACTGCAGAAGCTGGCGTTGAGGTATCTCTTAGATGATACCAAGAATGAAAACAAGATTGTGCACAAGCTATCAGTCACAACTTTTATAAGAAATAAGTTAAGCCCTCGGATTTGAAATATTCATCAATAAGATATCAGACTACTTTTAACCATTAATATATTATTAATCATCGAAGGGCACATAGAGAGTTAAGTAAACAAAGAGATGGCGCAAAAGGATTGAATTTAGCTTAGCTGATAGAATCCCTCAGAATTGACTAGTAATCAAGGTATAATCAGTCACTACTTTTAACATTTTTTTCATATCATTCATCATTGGGATGCAGCTAAGGTCGTGTGCATCAATATGCTTCATCAAGCAAGCAAAAGCAAAAACTCACCAAATTAACCCACAATGGATGTCCAACAACGGAATGTAAGAAGAAAACAAAGAACAAATCAAATCCCTCAGAGCTAAAATTTCATCAAAAGATATCAGTCACTGCTTTTAACATTTTTAATCTTAATAAGTCATCATTGGGATTGCTATAACGCTTCAAATCAAAAAACAAGAACCTTTAAACCTAAATCTGAGAACTAACCAAAATCAAAGCCTAAGGAATCCCACTTCAATCAAAATGGCAGAGCCAACAGTTTCAATTACATAACAGATTTCAACAAATATAAAAACCAGAACGATAATGAAATAGCAAAGACTGAAATCTAGAAACAAAAAGCGAGAAATAGAACAGATCTTATGTATGCGAGCTTTTCACAGGAACGGTGAATTAGGGTTCCAGGGGAATTCGTTGTAGCTGCGGAAGAGTGTCCTTTGATAGGTATTTATAGTGAGTTGTGTTCTGAAAAGGTCAAACTAGGGTTTATGCCACTTCCTGGTTCTGTAATAAAATAAAATAAAATTCATTATTTTTTTATTTTTACGCTCATCAATTTTTTTTCTTTTAATAAAAACTCTATTTGTGAAAATTTGGGACTTATTGCTTAAGAATTAATTAGAAATTTAAAATAAAACACTTGTTGTTTCCAAAATATTTAGCTATTTTACTTCGATTTGTTGATATTCAAACAAGTAATTCGTACAATTTTCAAAATTTTACATCAAAACATAACAAACAAATGTTGAATTCACTCTACAGTTAGTATCTACAGAGAGAGATTCATGATTCTCCTATAAGTAAATTATACCAAGTATAACCAAACGAATGGAGGATATATAACTTGAGAACAAAGCACAAGCACCACCTTCGCATTCATAAACAAGTATATAACTAGCAGCTGTTCAAACAATGAAAAATAATCATGTCTTGACGCTTACGCTTGGAGGATTTTGATCTTCAGCTCCAGATGCAACAGAAGGAAGTCGAGGTCTCAAAGGACAAGATGGAGAAGCAGAAAGAGGAGGATTACCCGTTGATATTGATCTGTTATGTGTAGGAGTATTATCTAATCTTGCATTTGAAGAAGACGAAGATAAAGGACCTGATCGGCTTCTTCGTATTTTCTTCTTCCTCTTCTTCTTCTTCGTATTTTCTCCTTCCAAGAGCAGCTTCCCGTCTTTTCCTACCCGCTTCACTTTAGTCTCGTTCAAGCAAGCCGGCAAGACACAGTTGCAGAGGAAACCTTAAGAAGGTTCAAAAGAAACCAATGTACAACATTACTTATTTGATCCCCTGAAAGATTCTATTGTAGAGGAAGTTTTGGGTTACCTAAGCGAGCAAGACGGTTGACCCAACTAGGGATTGATTTGTGAGTAAGTTTCAAAGAAACATGGTTGCAGAAATGGTTGCAGTTCCTTGTGATGAGATGGTACTTGTTACCCTGATACTCTTCTGATAATTTCTCCATAAAGCTTCGAACTTCTTTAGCCTTCATCTCTGTTTCACCAACAAGAATCGATTTCCTGAATGTGAAACCAGGACACTTCTTTGGCTCCACCTCAAAAATCCCCGAGCTCGATTTCTCGTGTGCCCCGTATCCATACTCAACCCCATGAACTACAAACAAGGAATAGCCAAAACCACGAGAGAACATTCAATATAGGATTAACAACAACGTATGGCGTGTGTGTGACTGAGTCATTGTTCAAACAACGGCCACAAAACTCTACCCTCCTAAGTTGTTATCATCAAAACACATTTAGTCTCTAAATCGATTCTATGACCAAAAGTCAATTCTACTCTTTAACAATAAATAGTTTTCATCGATCAAAGCAGACTTTAGAATCAAACAAAGCCAAGCAACAATACAGACAATGGATTTTTTCAACAATTAATATTACAATCCAACAAAATTGACCTACTATTGTCTCATCTTTCTCCGCAATCTTAGAACAACAATCAAACCCAGAATCGAGAAGGAAAAAAAACGATTTACCTTCGAGACCAGAGTGATAGATCCCAATTCCGAGCCAGTAACCATAAACATTCATTGGGGTAAGATCGTAAACATTCAGATAAACCGGTACCGTACCAGAATTCTTCTTCCGCCTCACCGATACGTTTCTGCAAAACATCTCTCTCTCTCTCTCTCTCTCTCTCTCTTTTGACGGCGGCTCAATGCATCGCAAATAAATTTTTAAAAAATCGATTGAGAGGTTTCGAGCAACGGAGAATCGGATGCTCTACCGGATTTTTAAGGGTTCGACTTCGTCTTCGTCAGTTTCTTCTTCCCCTCTCTCGGGGTTTCCTGGAAAATTCGATCGATGCCTAAAAAGCTTATTTACTTCCGTTTCTGTTTTTTCTTTTTTTTTTTCCCCAAAATATTTCCGCTTCTGTTAATTTACAAAGTTCAAAATTGAAAATGCAGTTTGTTTGTGTTTTTTTTGCCGTCAAATCAAATATATTATATTATACAAAGTTTTACACAATAGATGAAATCAAATAATACATATATTTTAAAGAATACATTTGGTTCCACATTTATTTATTTTAAAAAAGTACACAACGTAACAAACGTACGTTTTATTCAAAATAAAATTAAAAAAACAAATTAAAATGCACCTTCAATTACCATATTGAAGTCATATAGTATATGTTTCTGGAACAGAGATCACACATAAAGCCCTTCCTTAAGACGTGGACTGATCAGAATCTCAAGAGGCGTGGCTTTAGGAATGGTTAAGCCAGGGCTCTCAGTCATATCAACAGGCATATCCATAACAGTTTTCACGTCAAATGATTGAAGGAAACGAGCAAGACCTAAATGAAGCACTTGCATGGCCAATGAAGAGCCTGGGCATGATCTTCTTCCCGAACCAAATGGCATCAGCTCAAAGTTTTGTCCTCTTACATCGAACTCTTTTGCTTCTCCTGTGATAAACCTCTCTGGTCGAAATTCGTTTGGCTCCATATAAACCCTCGGATCTCTTTGGATTTTCCATACATTCACTAACATTCTTGTGCCGCGACGAACGTTGTAACCAGCGACCGTGCAATCTTCTATCGCCTCTCGATGGCCTAAGAGAGGACCAGCTGGATACAATCTCAATGTTTCTTTGATAATCGCTTGAATATACACCAGATTTTCTATGTCTGAATCCTCGACGTTCCTGTCTCTGCCGACGTGGATGTCGATCTCATCTTGTGCTTTCTTTAACATGTCCTTATTGTTTAGAAGAAGAGAAATGGCCCATGTAAGGGTTGATGGTGAAGTCTCACTTCCTCCAAGAATCAGTGCCTGTTATTCAATTTATTATCATTATATGACATACATTAAAACAATATACTTATAAGTATCATCTAATCAGGATTCGCCTAATCCCATCAATTTAAGGTTGAAGTAATTTCTTACAAAATAAACATGTTATCATTTACGTCTTTCCACCTAAACTTGTTTATATAACTAACTTTGTATTTTAGAAAACAATAATTTTTGGACAAAATCCCAGTTAATTTGGTTAGGTTTATATATCTAGTTCATCTAAAAAACATCAAAATTTGTGTAGTTAAAGATGTACCAGGCAGGTAGATTTAATGCTAGTAATTGCATCATGTTGAAGATGCGAGAATTTGCCTTGTTCTGCAAGCGACAGCATAACGTCGACGAAGTCTGAATCATTGTGTTTCGTTCCTGAAACTTTTCGTTGTTGTCGATGGTTTTCAATCCATCTTTCAAGGATCACATCTAATTCTCTTCCTGTTTGCTTCATCTCCTTCTCATGTCCTTGAAAATCAAACCACCCTAGTTTCGGAAAAGCATCGGACACGGTGAATATACCGACGAGGTGAAAGAAATTTGCGACGCCCTTTCTGCATTGCCTTGCCTCTTCGGCATCTTCAGGGGATAACGAGCCGCCTCCAAAGTATCGCTTTCCGGCCACCATTCTCACCATCATGTTCAGACTCATATCCTCTAACCAGCTCTTTAGATCAACCATTACTGGTTCTGAACCACCTTTCTTGACCCACAAGGAATACAAATCTTGCATAACTGCATGCATGCATGTGACAATATGTCAATATCGCATCATAACAAAATTAACAATATCGAAAATTATTATTATATACGTTTTTTTTTTTTTTTAATTACCCATTGAGATCTCAGAAACACGGACATGCTTGAGCATCTGAAGCCGCCGGTTAGAAAGTAGCTCGAGGGTTGCGATTTTACGCATCTCACGCCAGAAAGCGCTATAAGGCGCAAACCCGAAAACAGCACAATCGTAACCCATGTGCTTTGCGGCTGCAGTAATAGGACGTGAAGCCAAGGCTTTGTCGTTCACAGTAAAACAATCTTTAGCCACCTCAAAACTGCTCACAACAAATGTTTCACTGCTCCCAAGTCGTAGCGACATGGCTGGACCGTACTGGTCAGCCATTTTTCCTAAGGTTCGGTAAAGAAGCTGTTCCTTGCCACTGAGAAGGTGAAGATGACCGATGATGGGCCACGCACCACTTGGTGCAGGAGCTTTTACATGTTTTGGTTTCTTTGATTTCTTAAAAAGAGCAATAAAAACGAAAACAAGGATTGGAACAAATAAAGAAAAGAGGGAAGTATCCATAGTGGTTTGAGCGTGCAAAAGAGATGTGTGTTTGGTGATTTCTAGTTTTGAATGATTAAAAAGTATAGTCTGTCTCTCTATATATACACACACATATTATCGGTTCAATACCATGTAAGCATGAGACATACGCCTATCTTACTGCTGTTTGACCAAAAGCAAGTCGTCGAAAGGCGGGGGTC